GGGCTGGGATACTGCCAGGGCGCCCACACCTAGACAGGAGGACGATTAGGGTCCTCAACCAAAGCCTTTGGCTCAAAAGCCTAACCGCAAGGCAGCGGTGTTTGGCGGGAAATGCAAATGCATTACCATTTCTACGGAACAAGTCGCCACATGTTCCAACCCCCCAACCTGGAGGGCCAGGAGACTGTGTTCGTCAGACCTCTAACCATTGACCAACCTGGTATGAGAGACTCTGTGAGTGTCGCGGAACACTCCCCAGTATAGCTCAATGGATCGGTGAGGTGCGCAAACCGTCACACCACGGTAAGGTCCAGTCTCTTCGTGACTGTCGATTTGGAGGTAATTAGGATACGTGCGAACCAAGAGTCAGGCGCTAAGAGCGTGTCAAAACTGATTGTTTGAAAGATGAAGTCCCTTAATATTATCAGGTGGAGTTGGAGGAGACTGAATCAAAAGATATCGTCTTTGTTAGATGAGGTCGATGAGCAGCCTATCCTGTCTCGAGTTGTACCGTATACCGAAGCATGTCTGTAAATTTCTGGTGAGAGACAAACAAGGGAATTGTAAACAAAAGCAGAGAATCTGCAGCAATGAAACCAAAGGTCACCAGTTTTCCAAGGAGAAAACTCGGGCGACGGGTTGTGTACACAACCCGGAGTACGTATCCAGGAGGTATAATTCATTGTCGCTGACTTGAGTTTTTCAGTTAGTCAATAAGCTATGCATCTATGCTACACCCGTTCTAGCACCCACAGTTTCAAGCACCGGGAGGTGGGATATGCAGCCAAGCATTAGAGGCGATCACGTGTTCAGTGAGTTCTGGAACTGGGCAGCTACGTGCCATAGGTAATAGTTGCCGGTGCGACCCAGTTTAGTGTTTTCATACTTCTTTGCCACGTTATATACTGTTGACTTATCGGTCGCCCCCACTCAGCACAGGGGTGGATGAAAAGAGCGCTCCGAGGTGCATGTTCTTCTGGCATGCATAGCATATACCCTGATCAGCGCAATCTATGAGGCGTGAGTAATTCGCCTGTCGTTGGAGAGTTCCTGCTTTCTAAAACCATCTGAAGTACCTCAGCATCGCTAATCCCATGCCCCTCCTTGTTCAGCGGGGCCCGACATCGATGCCAATTTACCGCTCCAAGTCAGGTACTCGCTCTGTTGAACGACTTCAATCAGCGCCGCTGCAAAGAATCCACTTGATCCCACGCGCTAGAACTCCACCCAGGAACCCTTTGGAACGTTGAAGTCACCTACCAGCAGGAGATGATAGGAGTGCTAGCTGGAAGAGAGTTGCTCAAGGGTTTGTATGAGGAATCGGTCATCTTGAAGCTAATGCATGTAATAGCGCTGGCACCAGTACTTTCGGAGGCAGCCGTTGCGCGACTTAGAAACCGTCGTTTCTCGGACTGACCTGGGACAAGCTTTCAATCCAGTGAAGCGATTCTTTTTCTCCCCCATGTGGTGATATTAAGTTCAAAATTTTTGTTCGCTCATGCGTCATCAGCGAGCGGTAGCACCTATGGAGACCAAGCTTGCGTCAGTAATTCCCAGTCACAAAATCGGCGACAGATCTTTGAACAATCAAGTCCCCTCAATCCGTCTGGCACGCATACAGAATAGATAAGCGGTGACACTGAACAGTGGCTCACTGAACAATCCTGCCTGTTCCCTGTGCGACACTGTCATGCCAGGTTAGTTACCGGTGAAGATTCGGAACAACACAGTCTCCTGACCTGTATTGCGCAACTATTTGTCCAGTAAAATGTAATCTGGCGTTTTCTATCGAATACAGCTTCCTTATGGTAAAACGTTTCAGCCCATCTCTTTGGCTGAGAGCCCTATTAGTCTTATCTAGGTTTGCGCACTATATCAGCCTCTCAGCTCCCATGTAACTGATGTTCCTATAACCAGAAATAATCTTATGCCACGTGGAATGATCTGTTGAATTGCCTTGTCGAATACAGTGGGACGGGCAAGCGAAAACAGACTACTGCGGACACCTCCATTCTTCTCATATCACCACTACTTCTTGTAAACTCATCCGTTAGGCCAAACGACTCAATCTCTGGTATCTTCAATTCATTTATTGCCGATAGTCTCCGCCACCTCTAAACTAACCCTCATACATCGACGCCCGGTTCACCTGATTTCTGTTGATGTTCATCCTCTGAAGCATACGGGATGGTATGCTACTCCTACTCCCACATACCCAATGTTGATGTTCCCTATTCATCGGAGACTAAAGTTAAATTCTGTTACAATCGTTTAGCTAACTTCCCCCAGCTGCTTTCCCAATCCTACCACCTATATTGGTAGGATTATCAGCTCCCGCCTCTATTGCGCAGCTACCTCCCCCACCACCGCGAATCATCGGTGAATGAAGCTGCGGCAGCTACAACCCCTGTACGACAAGTGCGCGGTTATTACGGCTGACAAAGATGATGATGATGATGTACACCTCTGACTATCTAGACTCCGCTACGGTGGGATCTGCGGTTGTCTGTCGGCTGTTCTGACGGTCTGACAACAACAGTTGCTGCCTTTCTGTTGGGCTTTTGAGTTAAAAACTTTGATTGCGGGCCCCAATCGTCCTCCTGCAGGTCTGGGCTCTCTGGTGGTATCCCAGCCCACATGTGTTATCAAACAGCCGTGCATACGTTATGCCAACACTCATGCACATTCCACTTTTCGGTAGTTTGTGTTTGTGTTAACGAATATTCCACACTGACCTGTGAATGTCGAAACCGGAGCCGAATCGCCTGAATTTTAGTTGTCCTGTGAAGTTTTGGGAACTGCTTCAAGCTGCAGGAATTATTGAAGAAGTAAATAGCTCGACTCCTTAACCTGATGATTCCTTTTGATTGACTTGGCGAATTGAGGTCGCGTAATCCCATAGACACGGCGAACTAAGATATAGCCTAATATCCAAGTTCTTGAGAGTAATCGGCAAGCAAAACGATGGACAGACCTAATTAGGCACTAAGGAGCAATTTCGAAAATCGGATTTTATCCATCGTTTACCAGTGAGTCAAGTGGGGATATTATGAGATTTTCTGGGGGAACAAGTGTTTGTATGCTATCGAAACCCGGTGACGTCTTGACAAGTATCACACTGTAAGCAATGCACCCTCAAGACACTTCGTATCAACAAAAGTCGATAAAGATGGTAGCTTTGTCCCTTTTGAGGGATGTTTGGTTGACTGGGTGCCATTCCGGCATTCAGCAGTCACCCAAATTCACTGGGTTATACCGCAATATGGATTTGTGAATTGGTTGGCAGCATCGAAGTCCCGGGAATGGCTATCCCATTCCTAACCCATGAAAGCAGATAAAGGGCACCATATAGTTGCTAATTGTCACTCTATTGCCCCTTTTTGTCTAGTAAAGGAGTTATCATTTCACTCTACTCCTAAAAGAAGTAGCAGACATAACATTACGATCCTCACATTTCACGACTTCCAAATACACATAGAAGACGTGTTCACACACATTTCGCAGTCTTCGGTGGTAGTGTGATCTGTGAAGTAAAAATGAGTAAATCGTTCAGCTGCCATGTCCACCCGAAGGAAGCATGAGGGCTGGGATACTGCCAGGTTACCCAAGCCTAGACAGGGAAGGCGAGATGCAGAGGTCAGGTTCAAACCACAGACCTTCCGGTCAGTAAATTCTCGCTCAAGTCACTCATTCGTCTGCCCCTTCCCCTCTGAAGTATTCTGTGTGTGATCCAGGGATGGTAGCTTCCATCTTTGCTTGCTCTACTGCCTTGTTGAATACATCAATAAGTGTGTTGCACCGTGAACGTGCTACACACATTTAAAATGTATATGAATATTGTTAGACACGCGTGCACCCTCACTTTCTGTTATATTGGAAGCCAGTGAATTGGAGCGAGTCGTACAAGCTTAACGCTCCAGATGTCCTCCGACAAAGACCCCTCAAGGCACGAATAGCGCAGAGGTTAATCACATTTAGTGACAGGCTCATCGTCACTCTCTGAACGCAAATGGATGGTAATTTTCCGTCTCAACTGGTTACGGTGTTCACTTGTATGTCAGGCCGCGGGGCGATAATGTACGAACGATATACAGGGCCTTACCTTTGGTATTCGTCCTGGTGGTGCTCCTTACCATCCGACTTACTGATTGGGAGTACAACAGGCTGAAGTTTATCTTATCCATCCGAACAAGTATACGTTCCTCTGCTTGTAACCGAAGGATTTCTCAGAATTAGTTTCCTCAGCTTCCTGTTCACAAGAGGATTAACATGGGACACTGATCGAACTAGCCAAGGTAACCGAAAGTCGAAATAAAACTCGCGTCATTGAGTTTTCGGCCATTCCTTCAGCTATACTCAGCTCACCCTATGAGTTACGTGATTTATTACACCATAAGCAAACTCCTTTCTTGCTAAAGGTTTGCGTGTACAAGCTGCCCGTAAAATGTGTCATGCCTTATGGATTTCGTACCTGTCTCCAACAACAAGAAGACCTAAAATATTCGACCAGTGTTTCCGGAATTTCCTGACGTCTGCAAGTGTGTCATTCGGTAGTGAAACAGCGCCAACACCGATTTTGCTGTCTTTGATGATGATGATAACGATGTGATGATGATGATGATGATGATGATGATGATGATGATGATGATGGTGGATGGATGGATGGATGGATTCGGTAATATCAGACAAATGTTCAGCTGTTTGATTGGGCTGTCTGCGCAATTAGTAAAGAGAGCTGCAAATTGGTAGATATCTCAGTCCACCATCTTCCAGAAGACAGCATTGTTCTCTACTATCAATGGTGCTGGAATAAGTGCGTGGAGGACCTGTGTCGTAGCGGTGCGCAAAGATGATCGCTCGGATCAGGCAGTACCTCAGAATCCTATAAACTCAGATGAGTTCCATTTTACGGTGCAACTAGAAATTCCTGCGACACCTGATGTGCGACTCATTTCAATTGTGAAGTGCTACCACAAGCTGCTTGGTTGAATTTGTAATTGAAATGGACTGGTGGAAGCTGCAACGAAGTTGACCTGCTTAGCTCCTTGTGTAGTTGAGTGTATACATTTCATTCTTGCTTTTTCTTCCTCCAAGTTCTGCCAATGGTGATGTTATAATAAATTTAATTCAATTACAACTCTTCCTGGCACTTTTCATGTGTATTTCTGATCACGACTATGGTTCATTTTACTATACCCAGCGTGGCCGTCGTGTTGGTGGGCCAGGTGGTTATAATTATCAAGGTACACGTGGAGGCTACAATCAGCAGGGTTATCCGAACCGCAAGATGCGGAACATGTCCGATCGGGAACGAATGATGCAAGGCCAAAATAGACGATGGAACCCGTGGAATCAACAGCTAGGCCCAGGTCAGCGACGACCCGGTGGTCAACAAGGATGGAGAAATCAAAACGCTTGGGGAGGAAATCAAGACCGACGTCAACAACATCGCGCGGTTCGAGACTCTGCTATTCGGATCAAGGACTCTTGGACCTTACAGGAGGAGCTGGACTTCACTAGGCTATCCAAACTTGCTCTTCCTAATGTTAAGGAACCGACAGACCTGTGAGTTTTTGTTGCTTCCATGTTTGTATGTTTTAAAGTTATGTCAGCAGAGGCGGTCAAACAATGACTTGGCAGCGAAGTATGAAAGCCATTACCAGCAAACTCACTACCGTCTTCCTGGATGGGAACCCCGAGACGGGCCACATCAATGGCTAGAGACATTATCAGACATAGCCCAGTCGCGCCCTCAATGGCGCTCATGCATCAAAGCTATTGTCTTCAATGCATACCTCGTTTTCCAACCCCCCCTCCGCTTGACAACCTACTGACAGTGCTGGATTTATGCACCAATTTACCAGCTCGCGCGTGCGATGCGCAGCTACCTACCCCCTCCAATCATCGGTGAACGAAACTTTGGCAGCTACAACCAGTGTACGACGAGTACGCGGTTCTTACAGCTGACAATGATGATGATGATGATGGGTCGCTCATCTACGCAGGCACTTTTTCGAACTCTGGCCATCGTTTAACGCCTTGCTCAGTGCGCTCAAGAGCTCAGTGGTGGTTGGACTTGATTGCCGCAATGCCTCCGAGGAATTTCGTTTCTCAGTTAATGAGGATCTCGTGAAACCCAAAGAAAGCCGTCAGAAAAGAATCATCAGACCTCCACACTATGAATAACCTTATCACAGAACGGTTTGTAGGTGAATTAGTGCTAACCTTTGTGATAAAACTGTGATGGCAGCAAGGTATTTCTTGCGGACACCCATTATGTTCATATTTACGGGGGCATTCTATTTTCTAGGCCATCTCGAAGAGATCGGAACTTACCGTGATGTGACGGTTTGCGCACCTCACCGATCCATTGAGCTATACTGGGGAGTGTTCCGCGACACTCACAGAGTTTCTCATACCAGGTTGGTCAACGGTTATAGGTCTGACGAACACAGTTTCCTGGCCCTCCAGGTTGGAGGTTGGAACATGTGGCGACTTGTTCCGTAGAAATGGTAATGCATTTGCATTTCCCGCCAAACACCGCTGCCTTGCGGTTAGGCTTTTGAGCCAAAGGCTTTGGTTGAGGACCCTAATCGTCCTCCTGTCTAGGTGTGGGCGCCCTGGCAGTATCCCAGCCCTCGTACAAAGTACGGCAGTGAAGCATCGGTGTTGAACACTGATGTCATGCTGTCGATGATGATGTTGACTATTTTCTAGGGCAAATGAGTTGGCGAACATTGAACCTAAAAAATCCCGATCTCCAAGCGGTTGGCCATAATCACTGGCAACACATCCAGGACGGTCAAAATTACTTCAAACGTGTCGAGAACCTAGTGCGGCTCCAAATGCAACCACTGTCCGAACCAGCGTTTTACGCAGCCAACTCATCGCACCCAACCGGGTCAGGTTATTAATTGTTTCTTCAAAAAGCTCTTTTGAACCGGATGCTAGGGACAAATTCTCTGAAAAACCCCCATTCTTCCACTGCATCATAGACCAAACTTTCGACTCGAAAGCTGAAAGTGTAATACCCCAAGCAGCTCCCCCCACAGCTAAAGGTATCAGGCACTATCAGTCACCGTGTAACTCTCGTCACAGCCCTTCCCTACCTAGTCTTCCCTAGCTCTTTCAGCTGTCAGACACTTGGCCTGGTAAAATGAACCAAAAAACTTTGAAGAGCTCAGTAGATTTGTTATGTGGTTTTTCTTTCGTGTGATCCACGTCCCGTTTTTCATCTAGCATGGAGCAAGATATTTCTGTTCTTACCCTCACAGTGTGCAGTGCGGCGAGATAGAATACTACGACAAAAGCTACGACCGTGTTAACACGCGTAACGAGCGACCACTAGTTAGAGTCAATCGTATCCTCCACACCGTATGCGCAACTGAGGATCCTGTGATTCGGCGTTTGGCTAAACAAAATGTCGCTCGCGTGTACTGTACGGACGCAGTGGCCGCAAGCATTATGTGTTGCACCCGGTCGGTGAACCCCTGGGAAGTGATCGTGATCCGGGAGGATGACGTACTCTTCTTCGACGAGCGAGACAAAACCGAGTTTGGTAAGCCTCTTTTCCTCATATACATGCGGTTCGGTTCTCACGACTGTCTTCTCGATTGATGACCACCTACAGGCTAACAATCCCAGTTTGTCCTCTTCTTCTTTTCAAAATGTAAAATTCTGGTTAGTATACACAATCTCTTCCCAAAGTTCACCAAGGTTCCGCGTGACTCAGCTTGGACAGAATAGCCTTTGAGCGGAACCACCATCAACCACATCTCGATGTAGATCATTCCAGGTATCACCGTGATATATATTTTTTTACCTAACAAGGCGAAGGTTGCAGCATTTTGTGCATTGTGTTACTCCGTGCTCCGGTACAAATAAGTACCTTACTGTCGGAATTACACACGGGACAATTCCTGTGATTACGAATCTTTATTTGTCTGTATGACACCTTGCCATGGCTACTCCACTCTGTGTAGACTATTCCGCAGCACCAATCGCTTGCGGTCGATCCCTTCGGGTAATCTCTCCAAATCATCATCATCATTGTCAGCTGCAATAACCGCGTACTTGTCGCATAGTGGTTGTAGCTGTCACAGTTTCGTTCACCAATGATTCGGGATACTGGGACAGGTAGCTGAGCATTGGAAGCGGGAACTAGTAAGTTAGTGCGTAAATACAGCACTGTAGGTGGACTGTTAAGTGAAGGAATTGGGAAGGGAGCAATTCATTGGAGGCAATAGCTTGGATTCAGGAGCTCCATTGAGGGCGCGATTGGGTCATGTCTGACAATGTCTAACCACTGATATGGCCCGTCTCGGGATCCTCGCCCAGGAAGATGGCGATGACAAGTGCAGCTGAGTTTTGCTGGTAATGGCTTTCACACTTCGCTGCCAGATCATTATTTGACCGCCTCTGGCTGTCTTCCACCCTTAACGTGTCTGTGCGAAAAGAGCCCTTGGAGGAAGTCGGTCGACTGGCGTATGCGACACGTGGCCAAGCCAGCGCAACCGGTGCAGTGTGATCAGTTCATCTAAAGTCTGACTCACAAGGCAGCGGAGATTAGGGTTTTCTTTGGGGACTCTGCCCTCCCTGTCCTTCTGCACTGGACAATGGGTCGCTGCCATTTGAAAACAGTCCAGTTACGAAATACACCGGTTAGGTCCGCAGGTTGCGGAACTAAAAGCGAGATCACAAAGATTATCGACAGCGATCAACCACGCTATCCATTTTGAGAAGCAAACTGTTTTAACCGTCCAGTAACCTGGTGGTTGACCTAGCATTCAGTTGTACGTGCCGTGAAAACACCTGTTTTGCAACAACTCACCTTTGTTGTTGTAAAATGGCGCGGATTATTTGCAGTTATCCTTTGTCTGGGATCGCTAATACATCAATGGCTTCTTTCAGTTATCCTTTGGGGTCACCGCTATCAAATAAACGGAAAGAAAGAAAAGAAAGCGTTCAGCTGTAGCACCCTTCCGGTGCCTAGCTGCCATGCCACCCGAAGGACAACGAGGGCTGGGATACTGCCAGGTTGCCCAAGCCTAGACAGGGGAAGTCGAGAGGTAGAGGTCGGGTTCGAGCTACGGACCTTCTGGTCAGTAAATTCGCGCTCTAACTACTTGGGCCATCTCGCCCAAGACAGAGGTTCCCTGTCAAGAAATACCACCCTCAACCGAAGCCGATGGGCCGTTATCTGTTGGAGGAGTTTGTTCGGGTGTCGGGGGAGGGGATTCCTGCATTCCAACGCCCACGCAATTCAATCTGTTGAACATTTGTGTCTTCTCTTCCCCGATTGTAGATCTGGTCAGCGTGTGCGAAACGGCCGCAGAACCACCGACCGAAGAATCGGGACACATCAATTCCGCCCGCTGTCTGACTTTGGAAGCGACCTTTATCGACACGAATCTTTCACAACAGATTTTGCTCAGGGTGAGTTTGAATTGTCCCCATTCAGCCGTTCTTTAGCAGCTCCTCAGAATTTTGTTATCCAATCCCCTATTTTGACATCTACAGTGTATGTTTGGTGTGCTTTGTAACTAAGAAGTGCATAAATGAATGAAGTGGAAACATTGTGTTATATTTATTTGTATAAGCTGAAGTAAACTAACGTCACGACGATTGGGGACTGCCTTATGGCTAATTGTTACTACACTGCTGTGGTTGGTCGTGCTGCCATCAAACCCAAGTATAGGGCTGTCCAGCCCTTTCTTCGTGTCATCTGACAGAAGCACGAGATACTGTCAGGTTGCCCAAACCTAGACAGGAGCATGAAAGATGGAAGTGCCTGACCTCATTGTTTTTAACTTACTCTGTTTCAGGGTGGAAAGAAATATGCGTTCCCCGAACCTAATCCTTTCGTCGACAACGATGAGAATGAGGATGAGGAGGATTCGGATGAGATGGGTGACAGTGACGAAGAAGCCAGACGGGCAAGGCGTCTCGAGAAAAAAAACGTGGAGCTCGCCTCCATCGGCTATCGGTATCGCCTGTTCGATCTTGGCAACCAAATCGGCCTGGTGGTGCGGTGTGAGGTAACTGGTGCCCTGCCACCCACCAATGCCGATAGTGAACAGTCTGGTGATGCGGCGGCCCCACCGCAGTTTGTATACATCCGTAGTCTGAATGAGTTTGACTCTAGAGTAAGTCATGCCGAATTACTCAAGCTTTACTCTTTCGTTTCAATAGAGGATGCCCTCTCACGAGGGCATACCACGTTGGGACCGGAAAAACTCTCCTTTGCTCCTTCTTATAATGGACAAATTTCCCCCTTGAATTTGCTGAGTTTCCTAACGAAAGAACATTATTCTTGCTGTGCTTACTAATACTGCTACTGGTGATGATGAGTAGACATCAACACCTCTTCACCCAAACCATAGAATTGCAAACATCAGGATATTAGTACATATGTAGCCCAATAGCTATAATGCTACAAACACAGCGAGGCAATCTCCATGATTCGATTCGTACTAATAGCCTCACCCTCAAATTCTGAGTGGAGTCAAGTTGGGATGCTTGCACTGGGTTAATGCACCGGGCTAATGAGCCGTAGTTGGAGTTCAGCACCCTCGACCTCTTACTGAGGCTCTAATGCGTACATCCGGACTCGTTACCATGATCAGCAAACAGACAGGTTGGCTAGTTAAGCATAAGGACGCCGTGTTTCACCCCCCTCATACCACCCATAGCCGGGTTGTGAAGCCGTCTGGTGAAGTCATTCGGCTGGCCAACTTCTAGTCTTTATCAACAACCGACTGAGATCCGGTAGAATGGATAAACTGGGGGTGGTGGCCGTTGTGAAATCGGAACGGAGATGTCTCGCACTCGTGATCCAGTCCCATTACTTTATCGCTTTTTCACGTTTTCACGATAGTTGATCAAAGAACTACTAGTGAAAGGAAGAAGGCCTTCGCTGTGGAGTTATTTATTGGAAAACACCAACTGAACGGTTACAGACTATTGGACAGGGGAGCAAAACTATCATATGCATCTTGTTTGTAAAAACTACGTATCCGCCTTCTTCTCGAACTCGTCTTCCTGAACTTTCCTGGATGCCCATTGACTATTACTCAAACGTAAACGAATGCTACAAAGCGATTCCACAAATTCCGTCATAAATCTCACTTTTCAATAGGCGCGAAGCGGACTTATGAGAAAAACACATACTACTCGCGTGCTTCATCAGTGATGTCCACCGTCACCCTAGCGTTGGAAATTGCAAAGAGGAATAACGGTGAATAGGTGATTGTATGGTAACGGAATCGTAGAAGAATAGCCATTGAAATTTCACTCGAAAAAATCATTGGGTGGCTGAAAAAATTTAGTTCAGTGGTACTTTCACTGAATTGTAGCAATTTCTCTGTAGACTCCAGAAAAATAAGTTTGCCGATTACGTCTTATTTGCAACTCAGTACATTTTTTGACCTGGCTACGGGTATTCGTCCCCGGATGTCTCTCATACTGAAAGGTCTGATTATATAACCAGTTTGTGGTTTCAAAAATGAGTTTGATATTTTTCGTCCCGCGATGGCACGAATATTCTCTCAGTTTATTCATGAGTGTGAAGGTACGCATACTACTTTACTTCCTTCATCAACCAGTCGGCATGGATTACATGTGATACAGAATGATGTATAATCAGCCGATGGTCGGTGGGGGTGCGATCATGACTGCTAGACGGATATCCTCATTTGACGGGGTTGGTAGGCTCAGGACGTTGACTGTGGGTGATACCAACTGCTTGCACGACAGATTCTTACCAGAAAGAACTTTTACCGCCTTCAGTTCCACGTCATTTGTCTGTCGATTATTTTCAGTACCGAGAAGTCAATCGGTTGGGAGATGTAAAGAAAACTTCATGGCGGGTTGCACTTATTTTGTCCTGCCTTCATCTTCATATTTAACCTTTTACTTCCTTCATCAACCAGTCGGCATGGATTACATGTGATACAGAATGATGTATAATCAGCCGATCGGTCGGTGGGGTGCGATCATGACTGCTAGACGGATATGCTCATTTGACGGGGTTGGTAGGCTCAGGACGTTGACTGTGGGTGATACCAACTGCTTGCACGACAGATTCTTACCAGAAAGAACTTTTACCGCCTTCAGTTCCACGTCATTTGTCTGTCGATTATTTTCAGTACCGAGAAGTCAATCGGTTGGGAGATGTAAAGAAAACTTCATGGCGGGTTGCACTTATTTTGTCCTGCCTTCATCTTCATATTTAACCTGATTTTCCGACTACCATTGTGTTGCGTGTTACGAGAAGTTTGCAGGACTCAGGTCCTAGTCTAGTTGGCTGGTGACTCAGCATCGCGGGTGATGTTGACGTGCAATTGCAGATTCACGATGAATTACTTTGAAAGCGAGTGTTTGTTTTTTGAATAATTGCTTCGACCTATTAATGTCTTCATCAAGGAACAGTTCTGGAACTATAGTCATCTCGAAATCTCTGTCCAATCTTGACCTCCTAACAGGGAGGGTTCCTCAGACCACTGGCTGTATGGTGTAGCCTAAGTTGTGGTTGGTCGGACCGTTTTTTGTCACTTGCGTTTTTGCTGCTGGATGGACGTTTCCATCAATTATTGGAACCCCGGTGTCTCCTATTCCCTGATCGTTTTCTCAGTGGGGTTCATCTAGGAAGTTCACTTGAACACATTGTGACTGTTATGTCTAACCTGTATGCTTCCGATTATGTTCCCGATCAGCTTTGTGGTGGTGTGGATTGGCGCTCCAAATTGGACACCCAACGAGGTGCTGTCCTAGCCTCAGAGATCAAGAACAACGCATTCAAGCTTGCCAAATGGACAACCTGTAGCATGCTAGCAGGGGCAGATCAGCTCAAGCTAGGGTGAGTTATTTAGTCTATTGCGTGCCTTTTTCATCGTTTAAGCTGGTGGCTCAAGGTGAAGTCCTCTTATTCTGAATGTTAGTCGCCGCTAACTTCTAACCTCTTGGTGTGGATGCTTCTATGAAATACGGATTGTAACAGTAGACTTTCGTTCCCATTCCTGGATACCGAAATCATCACAAGAAATCTGTTTTAAGTTGTTCTCTCCAGTCGTTCCCACCATCTGACTTGTTCACAACTGCCTGTATGTTGTTTAGTGGCTACCCATTCTGTTGGTTAGTGTGTCATGCGGTGCTTCGGGTCAATCCCTGCAAACCGATTCACGCCCTCTCTCTCCTACCGGTGATATTTTTCACCTCCTTTGATAGGTTCTTTCTTTTCCATCAGGGATCATCGTATTTGGTTGCCTGCTTCTGGAGAGATCGCTTCTAGCTAGTTTCCACAGCAGAGGAGGCTAATTTCCTTCATTCGTTTGAGTGGGTCACTGCGGAGAGCCGAAACTGTACGCAGTGGTTTTAGCTACTTTTTCCAATCCGTTCTCCTGTTGCGAAGCCATTGACTTCCTGAAAGGGGAATTCCAGAGTCTCAGCCTTCCTACAAACAATCAGGTAGATAATCACCGTCATCCTCACTGCATCAATACCAGAGTAGAGCCCTGGTGCTTCACTGTCGTAAAACGACCCGGCTGATGGCACCACGCGGCGGTCGTTTTGGCTTGAGGCTGTTTAATTATGCGATCCCTGGCTGAACATAGGTTGCTGATCCCCTTGCCTAGACAGGAGGACGATTAGGGTCGTCAACCAAGGCACCGGTGGTAATTTTAAGACTGCCAGATCATTTTACGTTTTCAAGGGACAAGTCGTCACACAACCCTCAGCCTAGAGAACCCATTGACTAGCCTTGTATGAGAGGCTCTTTGAATGTCAAATGCACTCCCCCGTGTAGCTCAATGAGTTATGAATATACACAAACCGTCACAATCTACTGTCCGATAAGCTTATTCTTTGAGATACATAGGTCATATCTTCACCAACAATGGTGTTTTCCTCTACTTGAAAACTGGCTTTGACTTCGTGGAACTATGGCAATGTCCTGACCCTCCTTAAGGCTCCGTACGCCAACTCCCGCGGACGTGTGCAGGTCTACGGAAAGCTCTCGCCGTGGTGATGTCAGGCAATGCTCTCCTCTTCCACCTATTTCTTCAACTTCGTTATTGATTTAAAGGCCCTCTAATGTTTGTGGAGTCGAAGTGCTCCCGGGCTGTTCGCTCACAGATATCGGATATGCAGACGACGTAGCTCTTTTTGGATCTGACGACGCCGTAATGCGGACGAAATTAAATAATCTTGATAATTCTGCCTCGCGGTTTGGCATACGGTTCACACCTGCAATGTCTAAAAACCTTCTACAAGACTGGATGGACTGGCTCACGTTTGCGGATGAGCCAATTGAGATAGTAGACAAATTTATCTGCCTAAGCAGCTGTATTAGTCCCGGTGGTCTCGCGAAAGATGATATTTCCATCCGGATTGGGAGGGCCAGAGCAGCTTTCGTGAACCTGCATCACCTATGGCCTAGGCTTGACGTTAGCTTATCCGTCAAGGGTCGAGTTTACAATGCTGCGGTGCGCTCCATATCATTATACGGGTCAGAAACCTGGTCGTTGCGTGCTAAGGACGTCAAGAAACTTCTCGATGTTTGACCGTCTATGCTTTCGTAGCATTACCCCAGTCTGGTGGGAACGCCAGGTCAGTTATGCTTGAGTATGTCGAATGGTTTTCAGAAGAACTAACTCACTCACGATTGATGAACTGATCGCACTCCGTAGGTTGCGCTGGCTTGGTATACCAGTCCACCGACTTGCTGGAAGAGCCCTTTTCGCACAACCATGCGACGGATGGAAATGGGCCTGGAAAAGCCAAACAATGACTTTGCAGTAAACTATGAAAGCCGTTACCAGCAAACTGTGCTGCGTTGGTCATTGCTGTTTCCTTGAATGGGAACCCCAAAATGAGCCAAATCAATGATTAAAGACATTGTCAAACACGCATCCAAGCTGTTGCCTTCATTGGATAGCTCCGTTCCCGATAGCCCAAATGAAAATCCCACTGACGACCTTCTATTTGCATCAGCCACCGCCTCCAATACGTAGCTATCTGCCCACTACCCCCCCCCCCCTAAATTAACTACACTTCCTCAACAGNTCTATTCTGTCTCCTTTCTAATCTCCTAGAGCTACTCGACTCTCGCAACAGTGAGGGTGTATGGTGAGCTCTCCAAAAGCTTCCCTACAAAAAGTGGTATCCGACAAAGATGTCCACTCTCCCCATTCTTGTTCAACTTTGTAATTGGTGAAATAATTAGGCGGACACTGGACAGTCTTCAAAACCCCGGTGTTCAAATTGTTGCTGATGAAAGCCTTGTCGACCTGGAGTACGCAGATGACATCGCCCTCATCTTTGGAGACCAAAGCGAAGTGCAAGCCCTGTTGAATCGACTGATCGCCATCATTCCATCTTTTAGCATGCGCCTCGCACCTTCAAAGTGCAAACCCATGCTTCAGAACGTGACGTCTGCGAATAGATTCGTTACAATTCAAGGGGAACCACTGGAGAACTTTACATATCTCGGTAGTTGCAGTAGCTCTGACGGAAATGTGTCTGATGAAGTCAGTGCAAGAATCTCAAAGGCTCGAACCACGTTTGCTAATTTGCGTCACTTGTGGCGTCAAAAAGGCATCTCACTGGATCTTAAGGGTCG